TGCCGGGGGTGCTTGTGTGCGCGCAGGCGCTCACGCGCGCGGATGTGCACGCCCGTCCTTTCGCCCCTCTCGGGCCGGAGGTGCCGCCTCCGGGGCCTCACGTCGGCTGCCAACGGGGGGCAGTGTGATGCCAACCGCGAGGCTTTGCACATGGGGCCACATTTACGCCTCCAACAGTCGGCATCTAGGGAGAGTGTTTATTTTGCAGCAAGCCCCCTTCCTTCCCCCCCCCCCCCCCCCTCGCGCCCCGGACTCCGGAGGGGAAGTCTCCGGCTCTGGGGCGGCACGAAGGGCGGGCGGTGTGTGATTGTTTTTTCCCCGGCCCCCTCGGCCGGTCCACGGGCGGCGGCCGTGTCCAAACAGCGCTCCCTTCTCTCCCTGCCCTCTCGCTCCCCCCCCCCTCCTCCTCCCTTCGCTCGCCGCTTTCTCTCCCTCTTCCTCCTCGCCGGGATTCTTCCTGCCTGCTGTTGTGATGGCGACAACTCCCCAGTTCCTTGTGAGCGCCCCGCCCGGTACGCCCCCCTTTTGTTCCTCCCCCCCGGTCGCGCCCCCCCCCCTTCCCCCCCCCCCCCCCCCCCCCATGCTCCTTGCCTCCTCTGACCACCTGTTCCCGCTTGGGTCTCTCTGCGGCAGGCTTCCGCCAGGCGTGTCTCTCGCTCAACAAGTTCCCCACCGAGACGCTCATCGCCCTGGTATGTGGGGTCATTGTCCCTCCCCCTACTTCTGGCCCTTTTTTTTCCCCCCTCCCGCTTGTCGCTGACCCCCCCCCCCACCCAAGGCGCTTGACACCGCCGGCGAGAGTCGCTCCCCGCTGGACTTTGCCGAGATCTCCAAGGTACCTTTCACTTGCTCGGATCCCCGGGAGCCCGCGCTCGCCCAGACCTTCCCCGCCCCCCCCTCCCCCCGGGGCCACCAGGCCTGGAGTCATCCATTGTCGCCTGTTGACCACATCAATTGTTCCTTCCCTCGACGGGCTCTCCCCGCCTGGGGGCTCCAAACTCCCCCTCCGACGAGGGCTCCGCCCGGGCGGGACGGGCCGGCCCCGGGCACTGCCGAGAGGCAGTTGTCATGCCTTCTCCCCCCCCCCCCCCCCCCCCCGCCCCCCCCCCCCCTCCCCCCCCTCCCCCTCCCCCGCGCCCCCATGGAACTCATTCTCCATCTGCCGCCCCTCGCGCCCCCTTCCCTGGTCTCATGCGTCGCTCTTGACACCCGGCCATTTAGACCATCGTTCCGACCAACCCCGCGGTCACGGCGGCCGTCATCCAGAGCTGCCATTCGGCCCTGCTGTACATCTTGACCTCGACGATCCAGTACAACCTGACCGCCGAGCGGCGCCTCTCGCCCAAGAGCCTGGCCCAGCTGCTCGGGCGCGAGAGTCTTCTCTCCAGCAAGGCGGCCAGTGTGCTGACGCACTGCTGGGAGGGCGCCCTGCTCCGGCAGGCCCCGGTGGTCCGGGACCATGCCGGTGTCCAGGCGGCCGACCACTCGGAGATGCTGGCCGCTTTGGCCGGCACCGGGCGGCTGGTGGGGGTCAAGTGGGACCTGGCCCTGGGCCTGGCCCGATCGATGGCCGCCGAGGGCCAGGACGCGACGATGTCCGACCGGCCAGAGATGCTCGTGCGCCTGGTGCTGGATATTGATGCCGGAGTGCATGCACCGGTCCAGCGCATCCCGCTGGAGCTGTCGCTGCCGGAGTTCCGGGTTCGTGCCTCGCCCGTCGGCCACCGACGCTGGCCCGTTTCATTTGGTGCATGTGCGCGCTCTTGTGCTTCTTCAAGGATCACTAACGTCTGGGGGGTCTTTTTTTTTTTCCGCCTCGCACCTGCTGTGCAGAGCTTTGCTGCCCACATCAAGCAGCTCGGTGGCCACTTCGACATTCCGACCAACTAGGCGTGTTCGGCGTCCCCTGCCCGCCTCCCCGGCCTCCCTTCGGACCTGTGACCTTGTGCCACCGCCGACCAGCGTGTTTGAGCCCCCCGCTCCCCCCCCCCCCTCCCCTCGTAACCTATGTCGTTCCTCGTCTCCTCTCCTTTGTCTCTTCCGCCGGCGCGCCCTTTTGAAATACACCCTCTCCAGCATGGGTCTCCCGCTCTGCCCGATGACGATGACGATGTCCAGTGATGGCGGTGAAGGTGTTGTGATGCTGAGATTGTGATCTGACCGCCGCTGTTGCCGCTCCCTCGGCTGCACGGTCCCTCCCCCTTGCGGGACGCCCTTTCTTCTTCGGCGCCCAGCTCGGCAGGAGTTCGGCCCTGCGGGGCGTCTCCTGGGGTCCAATTCGTTGGCACCCCCTGTACTTGCGCCGATCAGCATGGTTTCTTCTCCCTCTGGCTGGGGGGCCCTCACTCTGGATGGGGAGGGGGGGGTCGATCTTGGTGGTTGATCAGCTCCCCGGCCGAGGTGGAAACGGGCTCTCCTGGTCGGGTAGCTTGGTCCCCAGACACACTCCTTCTCTTTCTCCCTCACTCCCTCCCTCCCTCCCTCTCCCTCTCTCTCTCTCTCTCTCTCTCTCTCTGTTTCTGCTCTCGCCATCCCACTTGTTTATCCCCGTTTCGTTGGCCCCTTGCAGACGGTCCTGCACACACCCTGATATGCTGGCTCCAAGCATCGGCAGGACGCCCTTGCTGGCCGGGCAGCCAGCGTGGCGGCCCCTCGTGCTGCGGGCCTTCGCGGCCGGCTCCACAGGATGCACCTCCTCCGTGGCGGGGTCACCTCCCCCCGGCGTAGGCCGGCAGTACTCGAAGAAGACCCACTCGTGCGAGCCCTCTCCCCTGTCTTGGCGCCTCCTCTCCCTCCGGCGTCTCTCCCTCTCTCTCTCTCTCTCTCCCTCCCGGCCTTCGCTGACATCCTGCCGCCGTCCTGGTGCATGGCGTCCCCCTTCCCCCCGGGGCAGCTCCCATCAATGGCTACAGCGCCAGTCTACCGATGTGCACTCGCGCATGGCTTCCGAGTCGGGCTACCGCGCGCGGTCGGCCTTCAAACTCAAGGAGATCCAAAATAAGTTCGACATTTTCGGCCTGCGCCGAGTCCGGCCCGCCTGGACCCCGGGCACGCGTGTGGAGGATGCCCCCTCGGCCGAAGGCCCAGACGCCGAGGGGGCCGCCCCGGCCGCGACCACGGCCGACTTGCTGGCGGCCGCTGCCATGACAGACACCGATGGAGGCATGGCCGCACGGGCGGCCCTCCTCGCGGCCGAGCTCCCCCCCTCGGGGGCGAACCTGGCCCGGCAGCGCAAGGCCCAAGCACGGGCCGAGCGGGCCGCTAGCGCGCGGCGGTCTGCGGACGAGCGCGCCCGGCTGGCACGCGAGCAGGACCGTGCAGCCGCCGCCGCCGCCGCCGCCGCGACCACCACTACCAGGCCCGAGATGGCGGGTCTTCCCATCCGCCGGCGGGTCCGCCGGGTGCTGGACCTCGGCGCGGCTCCCGGGAGCTGGAGTCAGGTGGCCCTGGAAATCCTGGCCGGCAAGGTGCGCGGGGCCAGCTCGCCGATGTTCCACCCGGCGCAAGCGGCCGCGGAGAAGGCCGACGCACGGGAGGTTCGTCGGCTGGCGGCGGCCGTGGCCGCGGGCTCCTCCGACGGCCTCTGGCCTGCGCCGCCGGCCCCGGTCACAGGCACCGGCCTGGTGCGCTCGATCACACTGGATCTGACCGACAATCAGCCCGGGCCCGAGGGGGCTCCTCCCGCTGGGCCGGCGCTGTCGGTCTTGCCTGGGTCGGAGGAGTCCCCGGTGCGGGTGATTGGCATTGATCTCCTCCGTGCGCAGCCCCCCTTCTCTCGCCCCTCTCTCCTCCCCCCTGGCATCCGCGATCACTTGCCCTCCTCCTCTCCCTCCCCCCCCCCCCCCCCGGCCCTGCCCGGTCCTGCTCGGGCCTGTGGGTCTTTCATGCCGCTGACATTCCTGCTGTGCCCAGACGTTCCCCCGATGACGGATGCGGCCTTTGTGCGGGCCTCCATCGACGACATTGAGTTGTGTCACACCTTGGTGCAGCGTCTCTTCTCGCGGACTCGGCCCGGTGCCCCGGCGACCGAGCAGCAGCTGCACGACCCGAATGCCGGGGACGAGCAAATCCACGCCGAAATTGTCCTGGACTCCGGCGACCCGAAGTATGCGACACCCAGCCAGGACTTCGATCCGGCTCGGCCGGTGGACTTGCTGCTCAGCGACATGGCGCCGAACACGAGTGGCCACAAGTCCAGCGATCACTTGCGCCAAGTGGTGCGTGCACATACAGATGCTTCGTCTGCCTTGGTGTGCCGGTCGTCCTGGTGGCCCGCCCGTTGCCGTGGTGTTTGTCTTGCCCGCTGTCTCTTGCATCTGCCTGACCTTTTGCTCGTCTTCCGCTCGCGGCGCCTTCCCCAGTCACTATGTCATCGGGCGCTGGACCTGGCCGAGGGGGTCCTCTCGCCCGGAGCCAATGCCGTGTTGAAGGTCTTCGCCGGGTCCGAGGAACAAGGTCCGCCCATCTCTCTCTCTCTCTCTCTCTCCCTCTCTCTCTCTCTCTCTCTCTCATTGGTGTGCTCTCCTCCCCTTCCGCCCCCTCCACTGGTCAACTAACTTGCTTGTGTTTTGCAGAGCTGGTTGACCGAATGGGCCTCCTCTTCATGGAAGTCCACCGGGTGAAGCCGGACTCCTCGCGCTCGGAGAGCGTGGAGTTTTTCCTCGTCGGCAAGTGCTTCAAGGCGGGCCTCGTCGATGAGTAGCGAGATACATGCAGTTCCCTGCTCATTGACCCCCCCCCCTATCCCCCCCTTTCCCAGTTGCTCTCTTCCTCTCTCTCTCCGCTCCTGATGTAGAATAGACAAACTTAGAGTTGCATGGGCCTCTCTCCCTCTCCTCTCGCCCCGGCCCCTTGGCCAATCTCTCCTGACCTTCTGATGTGACGTGCATCAATGGCCGGGGGTGGAGGCACAGGAAAGAGCATGCCCAAGCAAACGACGAGGGGGCGAGGTATGTATTGATATTCGGGTGTTTTTTTCCGGGGGAGGGGGGCAGGAGAAGGAGGAGGAGGAGGAGGAGGAGGAGGGAAACACGCAGCCCGGCTCTTGCCTGAGTGTGTATATGGCCTGAGATGTACAAAATTGGTTCTTCCAGGAGCAAAGGCAGCAGCAGGAGCATGAGATCGCGCCCGTGACAATGGCACGGATGTGAGAAGTAGGGGCTGGAGGAGGGGCGAGTGGCGCGCCGGGAGCCAGCAGAGAGCATTTGCCCTTCTGTGCTTCGGCACAGCGACGACACAGCTGGCCCTGGGAGGAGGTGGAGACCGCGCAGGAGCGCAAAGACACGCCGAGAGAAGGGGGACGGGTGACTGTAGCCCTGACTCGAACTGCCTGCGAATCACACAGGCACACACAATCGCACGCACGCACGCACGCACGCACGCACGCACGCACGCACGCACGAACACCGACTGGCACGCACACATGCCTCCGTTGATGCGTATGTATGATATGCAGCACATATGTGTGGACACTGATGCGCCACACAGCTGGGCATCATCGGACCCACATCCTCTCCACTTTTTCAAAGCCGGTCCGTGCTGGCGGAATACACCATCCCCCGGGGGGTGGTGCTGCGCATTTCGAAGTGATTGTTCGGGTCCACCGAGAGATTGGTGTCGACGGCCATGATGGTGGCCGCAGCCAGAGTCTCGGACCCATGGCGCAGGGCCAGTGACCCGGTGGTGTTGAGGCCGGCCCCGGTGCCGGAGTCCATGGACCCGAGGATGTACTCCTCGGAGGAGGCGCCATTCAGCCGGACGCCCGACCCGGTGGCGGCCTGGCTCCGGGGAAGGGTCCCCCCGCGGGAGGGGCTCGGCGAGGAGGCCGCAATCACCGACAGGACAATGGACCCCTCGGGATTGGAGCATCGCCGGGTGGTGGCATCGGCCGGCGAGTCGGCCGACAGGGAGGGCCGCAAGGCGACGGCCTCCTCCTCGGTGATGGTGGAGGGAGGCCGACGGCCGCCGCCGACGGCCGCCCCGGGGCCGGCGCTCCGGCTGCCCGGGCCGCCGCCAGCGGCATCCTGCCCGGCGTGGCCCCGGCCAAAGAGCGAGCCCCACCAAGAGAAGAAGCCACCCTGGGAGGCGCCGCCGCCGCGGCTGCCACCGCCGCCGGCGACCCCGGACCCATTGGGGCCGCCAGGGCCGTAGGGCGAAGGGCCGAGGTGCCCGCCCGGGCCGCCGCCATTGATGGAGTCCCCGGGGCCGTGCATCATGAAGAGTGCCGCATAGTGGTAGCTCCCGCGTGCGGTCATGGCCCAAGCGCGCACGAGGTTGTTCAGCTGGCTGCGGCAGTCGCGCTCGGCATCCGAGAAGAGGTCGCGCTGGATGTCCACCTGGATGCTGAGGCTGCCGCCGCCCGGGCGCGGGACGACCGCCACCGCGGACCCGGACCCGGGGGTCGCCCCACCGGTTGCCAGGGCGAGGCTCGCCTGGGAGCCGCCGATCCTCGGGGTGCCGCCCGAAGAATGGTGTTGCTGCTGCTGCTGGCCGGCCGAGGGCTGTTCCGGCACCGCCAGCTGGCTGGTGTTCTTGGAGGAGGCCCCCGAGCCGCCGGCGGAGGAGGCGCTGGTCATGGCCATCGGCTGCTGTGGCATGGCCATTGCCGACCCGGGCCCCGGGGCAGGGACGCTGGTGCTGGAGGCGCCAGCGCCGGCGGTGGCATGGGCAGCCGCGGCGGCAGCCGCCGCCGGCGGCACCGATCCACCGCCCAGGCGCTGCGACGGCGTGCGCGACCGGCTCCCCCGGCCCATGAGCCCACCGGAGGGGGCGGTCGGCGAGTTGGGCGGAGTGCTCTCGGAGCCGGTGACCTGCGCATGGGCCACGGCCTCGTGGTAGCTGCGAAGGGCCCCGGCATGCCCCTTGACGAAGCCAAGGCGTTGGAGAATGCGCTTCTTGACACGGTCGTCCAGGTTCAATTCAAGCTCGGCGCCGGACTGGATGAAGCGCGCGGCCAGGGTGCGCGACTCGACGAAGCGGCGCTCCTGCACCGCCGGCGGCCAGATCGATCGGAGGGCGGAACCCCGGTTAGGGGTGGTGGGGGGGGGGGGGAGACGGATACCGCGGTCAGTCATTGTTGGGGCCCGCTCAGGCGGGTGTTCTCTCTCTCTCTTCAACTTCGGGGGCCGCCGCTCCACCTTGACATGCGTCCCGCGGCCCTGCCCGTGGCACAATCTCCCCTCTCGCAGGCGCGTGCATGCCGTCCTGGCCATCCTTGCTTGCCCGGCCTCCTCGGCGCTGCTTTTTTTGCCGGCCTCCTGGTCTGTGCCTGCTAGCGTCCTTTGCTCTGCCTCGCCCCCCCTCCCCCCCCCCGCCGGCCGCTCGCAATGACGACGGGCAGCATGGCGCGTGCGCGTGCGCGCGGGCACCCATGTCGGGGTCTACGCACCGGCGTCAGCAGGTCGAAGTTGGCATGGTACACCCCGACCGCGTTGTAGAAGACCATGATCTCGGTGCAGAAGGACTGCAGGCAGAATTGCTCGAAGTCACGCCGAGCCTCGTCGCTCCCTCGGGAGGCCAGCTCGTCATACAGGTACTTGAAGTGCTGGCTGCTGGGACAGGCGCCGACATTGGCGCTGCCCCCGCGCGTGGGCAGAGTTTGAGTGCCGCGACCGGGGGCCCCGCGCGAGCCGGCCACCCCGGCCCCGGCCAGGCTGGCCAGGCCACCGCGCATGGCCACCGGCATGGGCAGACTCACGGCCGACCCGGCCTCGGGGCCCAGGGCGATGACGGAATTCCCGCCCGGCGACGTCAGCGAAGTGGTGGAGGTGCTGCCAGAGCCAGGGCCACCGCTGGTGGTGATCTGGCTGTCGGGCGTGCGGCGGCCGGCCGCCCGCAGAGGCGAGGACTCCTCGTCACTGTCCTCCTCGACCGGGTCGATGCCCTTCTCGAGGTCCACATTGGCCAGCTTGTTGTGGGTGATCACCTCGCCGCTGTGGTCATCCGAATGCATGTGGTGATGGTGGTTGCCCCCGCTATCACTGACCAGGTGCTTGGCCGGCGGGTCGAAGGAGGGGTGGTCGTCGCTGCCGCCGGCTGCGTCGGGGGTGCGGCTCTTCCGGATGTTGTCCTTGATTTCCTCGCGCGAAATGCCGCGGATGCTACGGCGCAAAAGCCGGCCCCGGGTGGCCGGTCGATGGGGTTGTGTTAGCGATCGGGGGCGCGGGGGCGGGGGCGGGGGCGGGGGCGGAGGGACCCCCGCAGGGAAGTGGCCAAGGCCCGGTGGTGGGCGAGGCCCATGCAACGAGCCAAGCCCCTGCAGGGGATGATGGCGGTGGATCGATCGATCCAGCGAGCGAGCCAGCAATATGGCGGATGGGCTCCGACGCACTTGAGCAGCTTGAAGTTCTCCGTGTAGGAAAGGATCGACGGGAAAAGGGTGACAAACAAATTCATCAAGCACATGTACACGATGACCAGAATGCTGATGTCGCTCAAGTGCAGGACGCTCATGACAATGTAAACCACATTCATCAACAGGGTACCGACAATGACCACCTGGAGGGCGGGGGGGGGGGGGGGCGAGTCAGCAAGCTGCAGCCTATTTGGTGCGTGCATTTGGCATGCCTGGCCTGGCGGCCGGCAGGGCCGGGGGGAGGCGTATAGCCCGCCGGGTGCGCTTTTGCATGCGACAGAGAGAGGCGCAGAAAGAGGGAGCGAGCCCTGTGTGCGTATGTGTGTGTGCGTGCGCGCGCGTGCGCAGAGGGGACATACGGTCAGCTCGGCCTTGATGAGGTAGGTGTCACGGCGCCCGCGGAGGAGCCAGGCAATCCAGCAGGCCAGCAGAATGATGATCAGGTCGCCGGGGACGGCGGCCCAGAGGGCCGGCCGGAGGCAGACATTCCCACCATCAACACCGCCCTTGAAGGTGGTCATGTCCATGCGGCCCACAATGAGAATCATCCAGCCAATGAGGCCGGCAAAGAGAAGCGTGGTGCAGTAGACACACAGCTGCGGCACCACGCCGGAGGCGAACTCCCTCATGCGCTTGATGCGCCGGAAGCGAGCGGTGTGCGTCTGGCCGAGAAGATTCATCGCGTGGTACTCGTGCAAAGCGTAAAGCTCGAAACCGCGGTTGAGGAAGGGCTGTCGCGAGTTTGCGGCGGAACGGGGCGGGTTCGTTTGGGGTTGGGTTTTTTTTTTCGCCGCACGGAGCCGGGGGGGGGGGGGGGGGGGGGGGCGGGGGGGGGGGGGGGGGGGGGGGGGGGGGGGGGGGGGGGGGGGGGGGGGGGGGGCAACCAACTTCGCCGTCCTTGACGAGTACAGCCGGTGCGTATAATCGGATTGGCGTCTGCCGGTGGGGGGGGGGGGGGGGGGGGGGGGGGGGCAGACCAGGGCAGGCAGTTAGCGGATGGGGGCCCGGGCCGGAAGCGGGCCTCTCGGCTGGCGGTGGCGGTGCCGGGCGCGGGCCCGTCACCGGGAGGCGGTGCACGTACCAGCCCCCACATGTAGGGAAGCATCGTGGTGGAGAGGTACGGCCACAGGCACGACATGTGCGGCCGGTGGACTAGGACCAGGGCAGCCGCGTGGACCAGCGACGCCAGGGTGATCATCGAGGTGTGGAACCAGCCGCGCGACTGGACGGGCTCCTGCTTCCGGCGGGAAAGGTAGAAAGAGAGCCCGACCACCCAGGTCCAGCTCATGGTGAGAATAATGTAATCCAATGGGTACCACATGGTTGTGATCTGGCAAATGCCGGGGGG